TTCTGTGCTTATCTGGTCATGGCATCTTCTCACATCAGCAATGGCCACCGCAGAAAGCAACAGATTTCTATGGAGAAGCAAACCTGTTAAAACTAGAGCCTGCCTCAAGAGTTTGGGAAGCAGAACCAGTTTTTTTCCTCTCTCTCATTCCTTTTACAGTGCCAAGCAATATCTCCACACTATCAGATGAATCTGCTTCATGAGTAATTCTTCTTCAGGCTGCTGGGAAGGGTGAAGCGTGACTTGTTTTACTGATGTCTTGGTGATGTGAGAGAGTAGTCGTGGTCATCTCCAGCAGCCCAGACTTTTATTTTTGGTGTGAGATGGTCCTTGGGCTTGAGGGTCCTTTGTGGAGACACAAATGTATGCCCCACTAAGAGGAACCCTGGCACGCAGTCCTGTCAGGTTTCCAATCTTCCTTTGGAAGAGTCTTCTCTTCCAATAATAGTGTCACATAATAGTGTCTCTTTCCAAAGCATTTCTTTAAAGCCTTGGGGAAGGACAGATCTACATTTTGTGTTTCATCTTACTTTTAAACTATTTTTGTCTTGATATTAGCTCTTTTGTGCTTGGGTTGTTACACCATAGGAATCCCGGACTTTAGGAAATGTGGAAGGGATGTGTAGTCTTTGGGTTGGCTGACTCAACAGTGAGACTGGCCACTGGACTCTTCAAACTCTATCTGTTAGTCTACAATAGCATTACTAAAAATAATTATGACAATTATTTTCCCTTCATGGTAAACACCTTCCTGTGAGCTAATGCACAAGATCTGGAAATTTTGGTAGTCACTTTTCAGTTAAAGCAAATACCAACCAAAATTCTGCTGGTAAATATTCTTCATGTCATAACAATTTTTTATGGTCTCCAGTGTCAAAGAGGTATGATAAAAAAACTGCAGTGGTAAAAAAAAAAACTACAGATGAGAAAATTGGCATAGCCCGCTTACCTAACGGAGAAAGGCTGGTGTATGCTGGATTGGACCAAACCTTCAGATATGTTCAGGACAGAATGAAGAGTGGGAAGAGAAGGACTGGGACATGTTGGGAGAGGAAGGTGCCTTTGGGTGGCTGCATTTCTCCTTTTCGGTAGTTCTCCTGTGCTGTCTGTTCAAGTGTTAGCAATCTCTAACACCTTCTTCCAGATAGCATTCAACTTTTCCCACAACAGTGTTTACCGGAAGGCTCAGTCTGTAAAAGCACATGACATGATGGATTACGTCTCAGGTCACTGTGTCATTGATAGGTGAGTACACTCACAGGGAGGATGCGATGTGTTTGTTTTTGTTCCTCTAACCCAGGTGCAAAGTCCCAGAGCAAACTCTGCAGTGAAGAAATAATCTTAGATCTTTCAGTAGGACCACAGAAAGTCTTAATGAGTTCCCTTTCCCCATTTCTGGTGGCACTGCAAGTGTCAGCATTCATTGTCTTGACTGCAGTGTTTGAGAAATACCCATAAAATCAGCCTATCATCTGGCATATTCTGGATGTTAGGAGCCTGTCCATTGACTTCTAGAGACTTTGGCTCCATTTCTCTCTGTGTGGCTTGAAAAGCAGTGTGGAATACCACCTATTGGGCATTTTTAGTCAAGTGTGGAAAGGGAGGTGGGGGTAAACAAATCAAAGGAAGAGGAAAAGAACTACTACCATGTTGTAGTAGGGCTCATTCTTCTGCTTGTGTCTTTGTTTTCAGTTGTATTTTACATGCACTTAAAAAATAGTTAGCTTAACAGGTGAGTCTCGGAAGAAAGATGCCAAGACCTCTCATAGACTGGGGGATGCTGGGACAGTGGTTGGAAATGGGGAGGGCACTGAAGGGGAGAGGGGAGGAAGTCCACGCATTTACATCATGATACTTGCACATTTTCTAAGCGAAAACCAAAACCAGCTCAAACACCAAATAAAGAAAAACAAAAAGGAAAAAAAAATAAGGAGGAGGTGAAAGAGAAACAAAATACAGATTTTCTTTCAAATCCTGGGGATGGGGGAAAGAAGAGGGTGGAGAGAAAATGGAAATGCCTAAATGGGAACTTGGGAAGGGTGAAGACACCAATCTCATGGCGCTTCCCATTTCCCCTAAGTGTTTCATTCTCAGTGTCTCTGAAGTGTTCAAGTTTTTCTTGAAAAAAAAATATATATATTACAAATGAAAAATTCCGTACCAGCAAGAAGAAATAAAATAATAACAATGAAAAACAACCATAATAAAACAAAAACACAGCCCTGAAAACATCAAAAAGAAACAGGGTGAGTCTCAAATTTCCCCTGTGGTGTTCCTCTGACTTCAGTAACAGTGCAGCATTGCACCAGTTCACTTTGATACTTTTTTTTTCTTTTTAAACAGCTTCTTCTTCCTTTCATGTGCGCATGTCCAGGCAGTATAGCCCATCACTCATAACCACTTCCCTCCAAGCCAGCTATTTGTCCTTAGACTCCTACCATCCAGCTGTGAGTACAAGGCATGACAATAGGGTCCATATTTATCTTTTGTGGCACTTTGTTTGTCAAAACCTTTGGTTTCTTCCTTTTTTTTTTTTTTTTAATTTTCCTTTTTTTATGTACTTATAAAAAATATTGTGTTTGTGTTGTTGCTGTAATTTTCTTACCGCTGGCTCTGGTGGGACTTCCACCCCACTTTCACAGCCATAATCAATGGATCTGGAACATGCGCCGACATTACTAAATGGATCAACAAAATCATGGCTGAACCAACCAAACCCAAATCATCCCCAGCGCGCAGGCCTCTTAAAAATGCTGAGATGTCCATAAGGTGCATGATGAGTCCATCAGCTCAGCAATCCAACAGAAAGCAAGCAAAATTAAAAAGGAAATAAAGCACACACGCACACAGATACACACACGCACACGCACACGCACAAAATAATAATAATTATAATCAAGAGAGAAATGTCTGGGGTTTTAAAACCAAGACGTGTCCCTAAGTTTGCTGTTTCAATATGAATCTTGTGATATTCTCCCCACAGACACATCCAGGTTTGGACTGCTGTTCATTAAATGGTTTTAGAAAGGCTTGCCTACATGTGTATCTGCTTGGCTGAATGAAACCCGCTTGCTGACTGACTCCTGTTTGCACCACATCCCCCATTAGATGCACTCATGATCCGTCGCTCTGAAGAGGTTCTGGTTTGCTAGCAAGAGGCACGAATAAAACCAAATGCACTCGTTCTGTAATCAATTTACACACCCCGTCTTTACCCCCTCCTCCCTCCAGGTGCAAAGTGGATCCAGGCTGTAGCTCTGAGGATGGTGTGAGATGGATGTGGGCTGATTCTCCATGGCATCAAGCCACTCCTCCATCTGCTAGTAAGCTCTGTTCCTCTCTGGTGAGATGAATGCAGACCCAGCTCTTGCCTCCATGGTGTACAAGATGCAAGGTTCTCCAGACCCTGAGGGTCTCCCACTACGCTGCACCATGGTGTTATCCAGGCTGGCAGCTGTATGAAAAAAATAGCCAAACACAGAAGAGACTCAGGAGCTCACTCCTCTTTGGCTGGCCGTGAAACAGGTTGAGATGTTGTTCTGGAGGAGCTGAGCAGAGGATAGGACAGGGTAATCAATCACCCACAACTGTCCTGTGGTGACAATGATCTCTGAAGAGATAGGAAGTGCGAAGAGAGAGCAACTCCTTCCTAGGCAGCAACCATGCCTTCAGCAAGGCCTAATGGTTCCAGAAATGGAGAAAAGGAAAGGCCAGGAGTTGGCACAAAAAGGCAGATGAGTTTACAGTGGTTCAGAGACCTCCAGAAGACATGCAGTTTGCCTGGGGGTATCTAGGTAGAAGAATATTTTGCAGTGTTTCATTTGGATTTCCTCCAAGATTTCCTTCCAAAATGTGTAGTGACATTTCCTCGTAGGAGTGGCTTTGAAGGAAGCTTTTAGCATCAGTCCTATGCACCACCTTGCTTCATGGCAAGCCCTTCAGTATCCATCTGATATTCCACCATGAGAAAACAATAGCTTTGTTCCAGTTGAGGAAACAAAATGGAAAGAACTAACAGCTTTAGAAAAATCCCTCTGGTTGGTTTCTGAGGCTGAGCTCCTTGCCTGGAACAAAATGAGACTTGTGGCTCTTGCTTTGCAAGCTGAGGTGGGAATGAGGGAGACGCTGTGCTGTCCATTGCCAGAAGGAACAGAACCACCATCGACGGGATGCCACTGAGCAGAGAGAGCATTTTTGTCGCAGTGCTACGACCAACAGGACACAATGGGAAAGACGGAGAGGGACACAGGTCTCTTTGAAAAATAAGAATAACCGTATGAAACACACGGGCAGGGGAGCATCGGTCTCCTCCTCCCCTCTTGACCATTCCCCTGCCCCAAGAGAGCAGTTACACCGCTGTTTGCCCAGGCAGATAAGAGCCACAGTGGTCCAACTCTGGACGGAGCTGTGGCATTTTTTGGGGAGCCTTGGGGTTCCTCTCCCAGTGGGTCACTATCAGGAGATAGAGTTGCAATGGCTCTGCAGGAGAGGATCTCGATTTGCTTCTGCCCTCCAGGATCCCTGCAGGCAGGCTGCCTTCCCCTTGGGGAGACTTTTAGTAATACTGAGTTCATTTCCATGCCCACTCCAGAGGCTACAGCCCTAGGAGGGCAGTTAAAGCAGCATGACAGAGGTGACCTCCTAATTTCCCATCTGCAGAGTGATGATGTGATGTTGGGGGAGGGTTTGTGGGGGTTTTTTTGTGTGTAATAGTTTTTCTCTAGGGCAAAGGCAGAGGGGAAGCTGTGAAAAGGAGAGCTCCACCCGAATGTCTTGATGTCCCCAGAGCCAAGATTCCTCTGCAGTCTTTTCTTTTAACCCCTGGGGCTTTGTCGCTTTGTCCATAGATTTCGAAAGAGAAAGAAATGAGAGAGAGAGAGGAGCGCTGTTCAGGTGACTCTGCTTACAGCCGATCAAAACTTGCACTTGGTAAAGATGATGATCTTGAGTGAGGCACGACTTGGTTTATCCCTCCCAGGGTGTCCCTGGCAGGACAGTTCTCAGCTGTCTATGCTCATAAGGGTTATGACTTGTTCAAGTTTGTAGGCAAGTTTCTGTTTCCCAGCCTGGTCGTCTTGATCAAGGGCTCCGAGAATCTGGAAAAAGTGAGAGAAAGGAATTGTAGGGATTTAATTTTTTTTGCCCAAAAGGACTGAGTTCAGCATCTTACAGCAGTAGATGAGGGTCAGCTTTTCCTAAGGTGGATCCCAGGCTTAGCTTAGATCACACAAAGCCGGTCAGTCAGCAGGGAACTAGGCAGGCAGTTTGGGATAGATCTGACTAAATGCAGACCTTTACATTGCAACCAATCAAATGGATTCTTATCTTGGAGATCAGTTATTTGATAGCTTTATTCATCACCTTGCCATGCTACTTGAGATGCCTTAAGGTATTTCACCTGGTCTTCAACACACAGAACCGTACTGGTCACCTTTAAGTCCTGTGTCATGCTTGCTGGACCATTCTCGGGTGCTTTAGGGTGTCTGAAATGGCACTGGGCACACATGCTTAAACAGCTTTTGGCCACATGTGACGCAGAGCTCATGTAGGGCTCCTCTGTAGCAAGCTAACATCTGACCATCGACTACTGCAAGCCAGCTAAATTTGATTGACCAATAGTAGGAGATAAAAATAACAGGGATCCAGACAAAAGAGTATTGGGAAGACCAATAACACCAGGCCCTCCCTTTCCAGACCCCAAGCCTTGCTTTTCATTCCTTAAATCCATCATCCCCTAGCCAGGATGAAGATAGGTATCTGTGACACGTGCTGGGCCCTGGGAATGGGTGGGCTGTCCCATGGTCCTGTAGAACTGCTCTTCCCCCTCCAAGGCTCTTACCTCCTCGCTGTACTTGCCAACGTAGGAGTATATCTCTGAGAGCGCGCTCATAGTGTTGAACTCATTCATATGCATGCGAGACTGCTCAGCCAAGTACGCATTCATGTCCTGGTCACTGATTGCTGGCATTTTGGTGATGTCTGAATAGTACCTGAGAGAGAGAAATAAAGGCGTTTCTTGAGGGGAGAAGTAGGGAGTCAAGAGATGAAAGCCATCAACAATAAGGAGAAAGGACACACTTAGCACTCTCAGGTTCTTCTGGTGCATCAGTGATATATCTGGTCATGCTCTTCTTTTACAGCAAGGGAGATGACTTAGCCAAAAGTGGAAATTACTGAAGCATTTATTCCTGGATACCAGATGTATGTTGTATTCACTCAACCCTATTCTGAGACTGAAACCCCAAAAAGCATCCTGTAAACTTTCTCCATACCATCAAAGAAGTAGGCAGTACCTATTGACGCTGGATTCCTCTGTCAGGCCTTCAAGGGCTTTGAGCACTACCTCCAGTCCCACAGAGAAGTCCCACTGATCTCGCTGCCCACAGAGAGCTCAGGATTTCTCTCCCATAGACAAAAAAAGCTTTGCATGCTTTCTTGAACCATTCACATTAGTACATCTACATCCATTGCTAACATCGTCCGCCTCCCGCACCGAATCCAGTCTATCCCAGCAACTCTTCTGATGCTCAACATCTCCCTTTTGCCTCAAATTTTAAGCTGGCCTGATGTCGCGGTTTGTGGCAAGAGGCTTCAAAACACCCCCATCCCCACTCTGACTGGGGAAAATCTGCTTCCCTTAAGAGTCAACAACATTCCCCTTGAGCTCGAGGACTGGGGCTTATCTGTAAGATGTGGAGCCCCCAGAACCTTTGCCCATCAGGCTTCATCAGCAGAGCTATGTCTCTTTAAGAAAGTTGCTGTTTTCGATGTCCTTCGTCCCCCGGGTAAGGCAGGTCTTGGAGGACAAGGTTTGTGGAAGGTAATCAGTCACTGTCACTCGCAGCTGTGCTCTGCTGTCAACTGGTTAATTAGTCGCCATCATTTACATTTTTAATTTCTGCAATTTGACATTTTGTGCACAAGGAAAAAAAAAAAGAAAAAAAGAAAAAAGCCCATAGCTGCAGCAATCCACAATTTTATAATTAGGAGGCAGAGGGGACGGAGAGCCAAAAGAGCTGACAGGTGTCCTGTAAACAGTGCTGAGACACCTGCTGAGATGGAGGCTGTTTTCCACTGCAGAGAAATTGGACACTGAAGTGTTGTATGATGAGGATCCTTCAGACAGACAAGTGGGAAAATACTCTCTACGGAGCATGGGACAAGCAGCTGCCAAAGTCTCCTATGAAAGATAGCACAGTGCAAGAGCACTGGGAGGAAACCCCTCCGCACCAGAAGGCTCCAGTTTTGCTGTCTGGTTTTGTGCCCTGCGCTCCCATCCTGATTTATTGCAATGGGTTGGTCTCAGTTGTTATCCTGGTTTTGCAGAGTGGGGTTGATGTAATCCTTGGGAGAGAAAGGCATAGGAGGCAGCTCTGTGCGTAGTCTTCCAGCCTGACTGCTTCCAGAGCTAGACTCTGGCTCATCATAAAATCTCATGCAAACCTCATTAACTTTATTGCAACTTCCAGTATGCGCAACAGCGTTACTCTCCCTGGAGTCCTAGCATCTTGTCTTCTGGGCTCAGAACCAGCCAAAAACTCAGTCCCATGGTCTAAATATTGCCCACTCCCAGCACTCCAGTGATGATTGGTCTGGGCTTGATTTTGCTTTACATTTTGCCTAACTCCCAACCCCCAAGTGGACTTGAACAGTTGTCTATAAGGGAAGAAGCCATCTGGAAACCTCATGAGGACCTGTCCTGCAGAACTACCTCCAGGAGAAGATGATGAGCAGAATGAATAAATATTTCTAGAGCTTTTCCACTCCCAAAAAACTCAAACAAGTCTCAGCATCAGCAGATGGACAAAATCAGAACTGTGCTGCATGCACTTCTGACAAGAGAAAGCGTCAGGGACTGGTGGCATCCGTGACAATGCTATCACAGGCTTCTCAGAGCCAAGTACATTGTTGAGAAACAAGGAGTCTCATGGCCAAAAAACAAGGTGTGCCTTGGCACTCAAAGAAAACTACATCCACATGCAACCAGCGCAGTTCATAGACTTGTGGGGAAAAATAGCCTGCGATGCAGTGAAATGCATTGATTTATGGTGCCTAAGAAGAGCCCACGGAGAAGAGCCCAGCTCCTCATGAATATTGCATAGGCACCTTCCTGCTGGGCGAAATGAAAAGTGAAGGGGATTACATCACAGCAAAAATAAATGAGGCCGGTGGAGGAAAGCAGAGGTACTGTGTTGTATTTGCCAGTCTGGCTCTGACAAGCAGCTGAAATGCTCCTTTTCCTCCCTGGTTTGGTTAGTCATCAAATGGTGGCAGGATAGTGGGTGCAGGGATGGGGAGCTTCTAAAAAGTGAAACAGAGACACACATATCATCTGCTTCTCCAAGTTTCTCTTGTCTCCCTTTCACCTAGTAGTAATGTTCTCCTGGGTCTGTGACTCAAAAGGGTCTGAAAGCTCCCCGGTTCCTTTCCAGCCCTGCAGAGATATTTTCCCAGCAGTGTAACACTCCCATGACTCATCTGAACAACAAAAAGCAACACGCAATGCTCCCTGGAGCGAAGGACAGGATACAAGAATCTGAATTTCAGGGCTTGGAGGACTCTCTGGCCATGACAGGCTCTCAAGCTGTGATCTCAGTGTTCTGAGTTCACGGACCCACCACCATACCAAAGTGTCCTGGTCTCCCCTGGACTCAGTTCCCTGGCCATCACACATCTGAGCAGTCATTTCCCGTTAAGACTGCAAACCAAGATATTGTGGGAGTGTGTTTCACGGGAAAAATAAAAGAAAAAGAAGGAAAAAAAAAGCATGTACCAATAATCAAACCTAGCTGCTAGTACAGGGAGAAAACGTATAATATCCTTCCATCAGAACTCTGCCATGGCCAAATGACTTATTTATACAGAAGTGTTTCTAATGAAGCCATCATCGCGCTATCTAAAGAAATTATGAATGTCTATATTAAAGCATCCTAGCAGGGAGATGACAACATCCCTGCTGAGTCTTTATTTACCTTCTATTTGAGCCCGGATCCTCAGAGGTACTTAGGGCCTCTCTGCCATTTGCATACCCCTAATGTCTTCAAAACCACTGTGAAGCTGTCACCGAACCCCAGAGGTCCTTACGTTTTCACTGCCGGCATTTGCAAGGCTGCCTGCGTGTGGCTTCCCTTCGCCCCTGCAGCTGACAGCTCTCACTCACACCCTAGCTGAACTGTGAGGCAATGCAGGGGGAGCGAGATGCTCTTTTGTCACCCTGCTCCTGTGAGCACCCCAACGCTGAGGGTCACCAGATCTCACCTGAGACATGGGCAGATCATTGACTGACACTTCCATAACCCCAGACGCTGCATTAGCCAGCAGGAGGTTGGGAATGTAAGACTAAGCCAGATTCCCTCTGAATGAGACAGAAAGGTAGCAAAGCAGCAAATCTAGCTTAGCCTGCATCCAAAGGTTCAAGACTGAGAGTCCAAAGTAGAAGATCATGACTACTTATTCAGATGTGCACCACTCGCTGGCCTGGTGCTGCAGATTTGCTCCTTCTTCTGTACTCCAGTTTTGATTATCTCCAGTGGATCCTTTTCCAGCTGTTTCCAGGAGATCCTTAGATGCACTTCAAAAGATCCTTTCTTATGTGCTTGAGTTTCCCCTAAATCACAGGAGGAGACTGAGTTCTTACCTCAAGGCTGCTCATTCTCTGATGTGGCAGGAAACATGCTCATTAGCCATCAGAAGCCCTCAAGAAATTTGTGTAAATCCCTCATTCAGGCACATCGGCAACTCAAATGGAGGATATGAGGACTACTAGACCATAGGATGTGACTTCATAGGCATCATTAGCACAGCAGCTCACCCCAGCCTGGCTGGAACAGGAGAGCCCATGAAACCATCCACCGCCACTATTGTATGGGGAAGGGTTTTGGATGCACCAGGATATAGTAGTGCTTCCTCTTATTCTCAAAAAATAAT